CCGACGAAGGACTAGCGTCCGATACGTCAGTAAGTTTTTTCATCTTTTCACGGTGTATAATTTACCTTTTCATCATTACTAGTTTTCTCATTGATTTAAAAATTTCATTCAGCTGGCTGATAGTAAGCATAGACATAGACATAGATTCATTTTTGGTACCTGAATGTATCAGATTCGTATCACCTTTTTTTAATCTTATACAAGTATTGAAGCTATTAAAGGTACAAGAAGAAACTTAACGAACTACGACTTTGACCTGAAAGACAGCTCTCCTATCACAAAATGTGTCCATTACCCTTTGACCTAACGAATTTCAAAGCCTAATTTCTTTAACCTCACAATGAACTATTAGAAACAAAAGATTTTGATATGGGTAAAATATGATCAAAGTTTAAGGCCCCGTCCACACGTATCCGGAAATTTTTGTATTCGCAAATTATTTTTTGCGGATACGAAAATGTTTGCGTCCACACGCAGCGTATTCGAATCGTTTTCACCGTCCACACGTATCCGTTTTCGTAAAATTTGCGGATACGAACACAAAAATTTGCGGACACGTGTGGACGCAACCCGTATCCGTAAAAAAAATAAATTTCGGGTACAAAAATTTGCGGATACATGTGTACGGGGCCCAAAGCCTAGGCAACGCCACAACAGCTAAATACTATTTTGATTTATCATTATAATAGATCGAGTCGACAATGAAAACTATTGCTTGTTTTGGCAAAACTCGACAGCTTTGCTAAGCGGGTGCGACATTACTGCTTGTCTTGGACGTCTATTAGCTACTAAAAATCACGGTGCCATGTTTCTGGGTGCTTATGGCCCCGGATACACGGGACAACCTTGTACGTTGTACGCAGCTACAAAATTTCATCAGTCAAAGTCCACACTTCAAACGTTCATGAACAACGGCGCGAACTGCTTCTACACAACTAGTAGAGACTTCAAGAAAAACGTTTGCGCATGCTTGCATTTCAGTTCGTTTTCCAAAAATGGAAGAGCGTTTTAATAGCGTGAAAGTAAGTGTTAATTTTCTCTGAACTTATCACTCATTAATAATTCATGAGGAAAACACAACAGAAATCGCGACCGTGAAGAGTGTTGTAAATCTGATACAAAACTGTGTTCATTTGCATAAACTTTAAGTTGGATTTTCTTGGCCAAATTCACTTTAATTTTGAAAATTTTAGTGAAACACAAAGGAACTAACCTAGACGTTTGATAAGTCATATACAGTATTTGTGTCCATGTTGTATCAGATATACAATCAATCGGCTACGCCTCGTGGTTGTATACAGTCAATTCAAAAAACGTTGTCGTCGACCGGCTCAAGCCTACGCGACTGGACCGAAAGAAATATGGGTAAAATGCACTGAAGCGGTTAAACATTCGTTCTGAATTAATTGTTCCCGCTAGTAGTAAAGATAATAATGGCGAGAAACAATTCAATCCGTCAAATGCATGTCTTCGGGTTTAGAGAAAGAAAAATAAAGTAGTTATGATTCAGTTCACAATTCCGAAAATATGAGGGCATTAAAAAAAACGTCTTCTTCAACACTTCCTGCACGCCTACGAAGGTTCGTGCTGTAAACCAGGCATAACTAGTCAGATAAAATTATGGAGTCAACTCGGCTTCAATGATTACTACCCAGAGTTCCTTTCGGTCCAGTCGCGTAGGCTTGAGTTGGTCGACGACAACGTTTTTTGAATTGACTGTATCTGATACAACACGGCCACTCATACTGTATATATTACACATACAAAACACATCGCGAGTATACTTCATGAGGGACCAACGTACTGTATGAGACAATCTGATTTGAAAATTAGCCCTTAAGTTTCAACAACTGAATCTAGGTTTTGGCATCAGTCGATGAGTCAGGCAAGTTTGAAAATCAAATTTGCATACTTTTACAATGACATAAACACCTTTTGGCATTTTGAAGACTGCGAGCATGCGCAGACGTTTTTCATTCGTGTCTACGATGCGTTGATTGACAGCTTTGTAGCAGGATCAAAATCTTCAAAGCGAGACATCCCTTGGAGAAATTTCGCCATCAACGCTGTGCGCATCATTTGCATTGTGTGTCAGGGTCTAAAGGTTACTATTTTAAGGGGTTACTAACAAAAAATAAATGCAATACAGCATCAGATCTCATTGACAAAAGGCTGCATTGGGACGTTGGTGTTGGTGGACGTAACAGTAGCAGCAGTCGGAGGAATCACTACGACAGAACCGCTAGACTTGGTTCTGCAACAACGACAGCAGCAGCAGCAACAGCATGTACCTAAGGTACCCAGGACAACCAATCCACCGCAAACCACCAGGAACTTTAGGAACGTGGATAGGGATTCCCACCAGCGTACGATCCCTGTGGAGGGAGGGTAAGAATTAATGGTGTACCACAACTGTTGAGAAGATGGCACTTGATTGAGCGAGAAATAAAAAGCAAGCAAGTATAAAAGCTGACAAGCGAGAAAGCGAGGAAACGAGAGAGCAAGGAAGTGAGGAAGCGAGAGAGCAAGGAAGCGAGAGAGCGAGGAAGCGAGAGAGCGAGGAAGGAAGGCAGGCAGGCAGGCAAGCAAGGAATTAAGTAAACAAACAAACTGATGCAAACAACCAAGTAAACTACAACGAAAACAAAAGAATAATCATTCCCGGTAAGCGATCAAGTTTTTTCTTACCACATTCCCAGGTCGATATGGGCAGGTCGCTTTCAGCTAGAGTTAAACTAGTAAGCGTCTCGAAACTTTCGAGAAGTTGCACTCCAGACAAGAGAATAATCTATCGATAAAAGGGGGAAATATTTTGAGAAGAGTTAACAATTGGGCTTTGTCGGTGAATAATGCATATAATATGTTATAGGTAAGTTGAACACCCTGGAATAAAAGGCAACTAGTGAGTAAACTAGTCTGAGCTGCGTCAATGTATGATACATATAAACGAGGGGTTATAGGTAAGCTGAACACCGTGGAATAAAAAGAGAACTAGCGAGTAAACTAGTTTAAGCTGCGTCGGTGCATAATGCAGAGAATGTGATGGGTTATAGTTAAGCTGAACACCGTGGAATAAAAAGAGAACTAGCGAGTAAACTAGTTTAAGCTGCGTCGGTGTATAATGCATATAATATGATGGGTTATAGGTAAGCTGAACACCGTGGAATAAAAAGAGAACTAGCGAGTAAACGAGTCTGAGCTGCGTCGGTGTATAATGCATATAATATGATGGGTTATAGGTAAGCTGAACACCGTGGAAGAGAACTAGCAAGTAAACTAGAGTGCAAACAATATAACCGTGAAACTTTAGTAATACTAAATAGCACAATTTCATGCAAATTCCATTGTTTTCTATTGTTTAATTAGCACTTTTTTTTAACTAACACTATTTAAAAAAAAAGAAAAACTAGCGAGTAAACATGCTAGAGCCGCGTCGGTGTATATTACCTTCAGCTTCAGGTTTGATCCAGTGTCTTGCAGTTGCACTTTCACATAGATCCCTGCCGATCCCAAGTTTCCAGGGGCGCTAAACGATAAACCAGGAACTGCAATCCTCTGGTCGGACTTGAAGTTCTGAGTCCATGAAACGCCAAGTGCTTCCACAGTTATATCAACAGTTGGCGGATCATCGCACTTGTTGATCTTGATTGTCAAGGTTAGATCTTTATTACCAAGGCTTTGATCTTCGCACTTGATTTCGCTGCAGTCAAAGGCGCTTACGTAGCATCCATCACCCAAGGCACGTGCTATATCAGGACATTCATCATTGTACGAGTCTATATAAGAAGCAGCCAATAATATGAGAAGATATTAGCAGTACAATGATTATGATTGGCATATGTATGCCATGAAATACAGTAAAAACCCGCGTATAAGAACCTAGGCTTTTTCAAGTTAGGGCCTAAACAGGTTCTTATATAAATGGTATTTAGTGTTAAATTAGGTTAACTAGGTTCTTAATTAGGTTCTTAACGTTTGTTCAAGAAATAAAATAAAGTTTCATCTTAAGTTGGATTTTTTTACAGTAACCATGTACAGTTATAGTGTTTATAGCATTATTGTGTACAGACTGTGTTATAAATATATTTTTGAAAAGATTGATTCTATTTCTTTCTTCTTTTTTAAAAATAAGAACCTGTTTTAGGATTTTAGCCTAAAATGGTTCTTATGTGAAGGGTGCTTAAAAATGAAATTTTAGCCTAACAGGTTCTTAAATTTTAGGTTCTTATACGCGGGTTTTTACTGTAACCGAACAACGTTTCAAACTAGTTGTTCTAGTTTGAATTCTTTTACGAGTCAATGTCTGTAACGGTCGAGAATCCTCGGACAGTTGAAAAAATCTAAATTGCTCATACTTTACCTAAATACCCTTTGTGGTGAGACATTTTCGAAAATACAATTTTAAGTCCTGGGCGCCTTTAATTTTTTGAGAAATCACTAAAAGTTGATTTTGGGATTCAGAAGTGCTTGGGCACCCTGTGTTGATCGGCGATCGTACAGCTTCGTGATATATTTGTACTGAGGGTTAATCGCAATTTACTATAATTTTCTTTACTTCAAAAAAAGGAGCTTTTGGTGGACGTCAATCAAGGCGTTTCCATGACATTTTATAGGCACGTGCCCTTATAGCTTTGTGCTTTCCGACAATCAATGGAAACGCCTTGTGATCGATGTCCACCAAAACCGTCTTTTTCGCTACAGAAACAATCGCTAGAGGGCGCGTGTGATTGAGAATGGCTGTAAATGAAGCATTTGGATTTTTAAAGCGAGCTATAAAATTCCCTTGCAAGTATGTTTATGATAACGATAGGTCATGATTCGAACTAGTTAATTGCCAATCAGAGTTCGCGTAAGAATTGAACCGGGCAAGGGTCCAATCAGATACCGCTTCTTAATTCGTGTCACGGGGAACAAGGATTCTGGTTTATGGCGCTGTTTTCCGCTTTCAAATCGTAAAATTAAGAGAGAACGTATGATCTTTGGCGGGGACGCTTTCCTCAAACCCCATACATTCTCTCTTATTTTTGCAGCTTTTAAAAACTTGTCACACCCATAGAAATTGATGGAAGAGCCGGAAGCTAAAAAACGAGAAAAAATGTGTGACATTTCCGTCTTGGTCAAAGAAACAGAAGCATAAACAGTCCAGTATTTATTCGAAATTTCAGTAATGCATCAACATCAAGCCTTATATCCACTCACTTGATAATGTTTATTCGCTTGAATTGTGATTCTGGAAATTTCGATATTTCTTATAATATATAAATAAAAGTCACGGGGCTTATAATATCGCGACAGGCGACAACACGTACATTATTTAACAAATATGTATAAAAAAATAGCATTTGAACGAAGACCAGCGATAGATATACTGAAAGTGTGAATTTAAGATTTTATAACTTCAATTTGAAAGTTAGAAATAGCGAAACTTGGCTAAAAATATTATTTTTATAAGAAAAATGTAAAAAAAGTCGATTGGAGCAGCCCATCATTGCCTCCCATTTATCTCAGAACTAGTCGGGTTAAAAATCTTATGTACAGTAAACTATTAAATTAGAGTGGTGCATATTATTCGAAACATTAAAAAAACATTTTGAACAGATTCTATTAATTTGCAAACACGAGTAATATTTAAGAAAAGATGCAAATTTTTCGTGTCTATATGTTATTATAAACATTTTGAATCGTCTGTTTTATTTTATAAAATATTAGAATCTTTCTATCAATTAAACTCAATCTTTGAATAAGATAACAGCAGTAAAGTTATGTTTTTTGCAGTGAATTCGCAGCCAAGACCACGTTGTATTTCACCAACAAAACATTATCTAAGTGTGGGCTGTCTGAACTGAGAAAGGCTTTATATAAACAATTAAAAGACAAGCTTCCCTTACAAATATATAAAGATATAACTAGCTAAAAACTAGTGTGAGCTGCGTCGGTGTTTCTAATGAAACAGTAATGATGAAAAGGTAAATTATACACCGTGAAAAGATGAAAAAACTTACTGACGTTTCGGACGCTAGTCCTTCGTCGGAGTAAAAGACTCCGACGAAGGACTAGCGTCCGAAACGTCAGTAAGTTTTTTCATCTTTTCACGGTGTATAATTTACCTTTTCATCATTACTGTTACAAATATATACTTCGTTTTGAAAAATGTTTCTTATCGAATGGACGACTCAACAGCAAAGATTATTATCGATAAATACAATTATAAATTATAAAATTCACAAGGAGTGAGAGAGAAAGCAGCTATGCGTTCAAGACAAAGCCGGCACCATCCACGCGACACAACATGATTAATGATCCGATTCTTGCTGAATTGATCGATTTTTTGGATAAAAACTGTCATTAGTTTACTTACCTGATTCGGCGTCTGCGAGAGTTAATGTGGCTCCTAGCAGTAAGACGAAAAAAACGATCCCAATTGCCATGTTTGTGGACTAAAAACCTCCCCTAAAAAACTGCACAAGCCCTCGAATTCTCAGAAATGATACGATGAATATTAATGAGGGATGACGTCATCCAGTAAACCGGAAACGCTTCGTTTATATACGACGTTTTCAATCCTAAAAGAAGTCCTAGGGCTATTGCATGCTACTTTTCAACTTTTCCTAAAAGGATCAATAGACAAGACTTGGCAGCAATGGAGGATATTCTCGACCATTTTTTATTTATTGGGGCCCTGAATTTTTCAATTAATCTGGAAGGGCCTCCCGAAAAAATTGAATGCTATCAGGTTGGGTTCTCGAAATGTTTTTGTATCACAGGTATTTTCTCCTCCACCCCCACCCCCCTGACTTAAATAATGAACGGTCCCTTATGTGAACAAGAAGTTAAAGATGAAAAGCACTTTCTTTTGAAATATCCCTCCTCATCAAACAAACGAAAAGAACTACGACAAAAATTTAACTAAAACAAACAATTTAACTCTTATGTGAAAACGATAAAAATTCCATTTTCTTGTCAACCTGAATAAAATAATCCAAAAACTTGTATCATAATACATATACGAATGTCAAGAAGCCAGAAGGGCTGGTTGCCACTGACAAAATAGATACAGTCAATTCAAAAAATGTTGTCGTCGACCAACTCAAGCCTACGCGACTGGACGGAAAGGAACTCTGGGTAGTAATCATTGAAGCCGAGTTGACTCCATAATTTTATCTGACTAGTTATGCCTGGTTTACAGCACGAACCTTCGTAGGCGAGCGGGAAGTGTTGAAGGATACGTTTTTTTAATGCCTTCATATTTTCGGAATTGTGAACTGAATCATAACTACTTTGTTTTTCTTTCCCAAACCCAAAGACATGCATTTGATGGATTGTTTCTCGCCATTATTATCTTATTACAAGCGGGAACGATTAATTCAGAACGAATATTTAACCGCTTCAGTGGTTTTTACCCATATTTCTTTCGGTCCAGTCGCGTAGGCTTGAGCCGGTCGACGACAATGTTTTTTGAATTGACTGTATATAGAAAGCTTGAATTACGACAAACTATCTAAAATACATCAATGTATTTTGATGAAATTAAGATAATTAGCACTGATTGTTCACCGAAGGCGAAGTGAATATCGGGGAATATTTACCGAGACGCGAGTCTTCAAGCGGCGAATTATTGTTTTAGCATATACCAACTTGTGTACAGAGTAACTTATTTTTATGTTATACAATAATTCAATAAAAGCAAACAAGCAGAAACTTTTAGTTTGCGTGACAATTAATTCACGCAAAACTTTTAGCAAAACTTTTAGGCCATACTTCGTTGCCTTTTTAGTATTGATAGGAATGGCATTTACTTTCATTTTTTCAATTTCCTCATCAGAAAATTGTAGCAAAACGATTGCCGGCAGATGCCATTTTGTTGCCGACTCAATATTCCGAGATTCAGAGGTCAATATCGTACAATATTCACCTCCAATTAACCAATGAGCGTGCGCGTTCTTAGGAAATACACAAGTTGGTATATGCTAATATATTTTATATTTTCTGAATATTTGGAAAAAACACCTATGGGCCTTTAGTATGCAGTGCCAAATAAATTATTGTTGTTGTTGTTGTTGTTGTTGTTGTTGTACATACGGGTATGAGTCGCTGGATAGGGTATGGTTTTTGGCCTTGTTGTTTTACACAGGGTATACATTTTAACGGATATATATCGTAAATTTTATGTTTTTGTGTGTACGTCTTGGATAGGGTACTATTTCATACAAACCGTAGTTTGGCAACAAAGCGCCTCATTATTTGGTCCTGATAAAAAGTTGATCAGATCCTTGACGGCTTTGTTATGAAACTCCTATAACACTGGGTAAGATGTGTGTCTTATATAGGGTATGCAATTTCTTGTATGTATCGAATAGGGTATGAATTTTTCACTCTGAATTGTCTTCAATAGGGTCAGGGTTTTATACCTCTGCTGGCGGCACACCCCTAGACAAAACAGGGTCGAAGTACTTCCCTCCCCCTCGGGTTAAAATCCACCGGATGACGTAACGTGAAAACGAAGGATATAGGGAAAAAATAGAAGGAAGAAAAAGAAGAAGAACCGATCAAACTACGGTCCACCCATGGCAAATATTCACAAATATATATCATATTACCCTTTAATCGTTCCACCTGTTTATTCAATAAAGTTAAAATAATAAAATAACATTGAAAATAATAACAATTGACGAGTTCGTGCCGAAGAAAAACCCAAGGTGAAAACGCTGTTTAGAAACTAAAGTCGAAAAAGTTCTATTTTTGGGCATGCAGTCTTACTTACCCGAACAGAAACAACCTCTGGGCTGATCAAAGTCAGAGCACGTTGGGCTAATTCACAGATAGAACCCTGAAACAACCTTTGGGTTGATGTAAGTCAGGGCACTCACTGTAATATAAGGCAAGAAGAAGAAAAACAATACGGAAACCAGGGTTGGAAATCATAATAGTCACATAATCACATATGTTTAATTGACATTTTGCATAGCAATAGTGGTAGTGTTAGCAGGTGCAAACATCGTAGCTGTCGGGGCTGGCGCTACAACTGCTCCTCTTCGAGTGTTTGGCTTCCTACAGCAGCAACAGTAGCAGGACACGATCAGTAGAATCACGAAACATATGACTCCAGCAATCAACAGGTACTGGAAGGTGGTACCGATGGACTTCCACCACCGTACAATACCTGACACAGAAAAAATACAGTTTTAAAGGTCCTATTACACTGTGCAATTTTCTCAGCAATGTGTCTCGCAATGCTTGAAAATGTAACCACACTCATTGGTACGTCAATACTACTCACCACACTCACAGATACGTCAATACTACTCACCACACTCATAGATATAGAGGATATTACATGGGCGCGCGGAGATACGAATTTTATCTTCGAGTGTTCAATTGAAATCTGACGAGTGAGCGCAGCGAACGAGTGAGATATCTAAATTTAACACGAGAAGATAAAATTCGTATCTCCAAGCGGCCATGTAATGTTCTGTTTATTATATAGATATCGATGAAACTTAAATAAAACAAAAGCTCAAAAATTCTTTATTAAAATA